AGGAGTAGAAAGGATGCCACTGGAGCAGCTCAGCACAGTGCCAATGTTCTGCTGTGTTTTTTCAGAATAGGCATCTGATAACCTTTTGTTTATGATCTGAAAAAAGAAACAAAAACAAACCCCAAAAACCAGTCAATTTAGCATACAAAGATGAAGCCCATTATAATGAACCAACAACACCTTCTGTGAGCTGTGGCTGCAAGCAAGGGGGATGTGCCAACAGCTGCTGCTGAGCCTCTCACATCATAGTTTTCAAACTAGAAGCTTCACTGTCCTTGCATTTGTTTGCAGCACTAGATGAGTAAGGAAGCCCTCATGCACGCCACTGGCAACAGCATAAGGCTATCCATACTTGATACTAATCTTTTTCATCCTGCAGAAATGGAATAGGGGTAAATTTCTTCCCTTCCTGAATGGTCCACAAAATTACGCTCCCAACACCAACAAATCTGTACAAAATACACATCTCTGCTCTGATACAGGGAGTTTATTTAGTAAGAATGTCCATGACTAAATATCATCTTTATATTTGAAAATGAGACAAATTCTGATCCTGGTATCTGGAACACGTAGGACAATTCTCTTTTCTCTTTGAAGGATACAATTTCTAGAGAAATTATGCTGCATTTGTCTTAATTGTCTCAAACTTTTAATGTATTTCCCTGCTGTTTTCTCCTTCAATCCACTTTTCACTCACTCCCTTTTCTCACCTTCAGATAATGTCTGCAAACAAACTCAGTAACAATTTAAAAATCTGCGTCTATTTTGTTAAAAATCTTACTTGTCTCCTTATACCTTATTGTGGATGGTTAATCTCCTCAGCTGCAACAGTGATGGATGAAAACAGACCCTTAAATTCTTCCCACTGGACCCTTTACCACCTCTGTCCTTGGTGTTCGGGATACCCTGTCCTGTACCTCTAACCTGGTCTTCATCGAGACAGGTTTTCATACCTAGACCACACTTAAATTTGGCACACTTTGAAGCCCAGATTTCATCCAACCAATTCTCCATACCTCACAGTTCAATTTCTACATGTAAAGATAATCTTTTCTTGCTTCCCTTCAATCTGATCAAAATTAAAAGGATCATTTTCCCAGTCATTTTCACTGCCTTTGCGGCCACTCACTAATTGTGTCATTTTTAACCTTAGTGCTGCACAAATAAAAATGTATTGCAGGACAGAAATAGAGAAGCTTTCAGTACAGGTCCTGCAAACTATCAGATTAATGCTATTTCATGAAACATCTGACACTATGAAGAAGAGTCAAGTACTGTAAGAGATACGTGCTGCTATCCAGAATTTTACCAGATATCCACAGTCGTATTTACCTCTGCAACTGAAAAACTGAGACCAACTGTCTTCCCACTCTTTAAGAGATCCTGTAGTCTTTTACTACGGATAACATCGTCAAGATATGCCCAGAGTTTTTCAACAACTTCATCCTCCAGTTCATGTTTCTTCTTGTAGTTGGAAACCAATGCTTGGGTTACCCAATCCAGTAAAACCTGTTAACAGAGGGGAAAACAAGAAATCTTTAACAACCCCCAAGTAAAAACAGGACAAAAGCAGTACCTCTTCACAGTTACAGCATTTGTGCCTTAGGAACTGTGCTACAGCCAAGCAGAACAGCTTCTGAGTGAGCAGAGGAGTCTGCTCCCAAAGGTTTCAGTTCCTAAGAGCTTACACTCTATACCAAATGTTGGACCTGTGCTTGCATGTACCATCCCAAAACAGCTATAAGGAGTGAACATCTTTACTCTGACAACATTCTAATTCTAACAGTTGATACTGGTTGCAAATGCAGTCTTTTAAATCAGTGCTCAGAGAATCAGCTGGGTTTCACTTTCTGACAGTTGCTATTGCACTCACATCCTTCTCCTCATATGTTTAAATTCACTACCTAAAAATTCAGGCCCAGGAATTTAGATGGGTGCAAACTGGAAAAGATTGAAATCTACTGATTACTGTTTTAAAACTGAAGTTGTGGTGTATGACTAAGTTTAATACTTTAAGTAACTGAAACAATAAGAACCCAAAACACAGATCTCAAATGTGCAAATCCTAGACCCGAAAGTACTGAAGAGGAATAGGACAAGACACCCCTAACCCAAGGAAACACTGCATAGACCTTCAGGAAACAGGGTCAAAACAAAAGACTTAGGATATAGTGTAAGTTCCATGAAGAGAAAAGCAAATCCGTTTCCAAGCAGCAGTCCATGAATGCACTATGTGCTCTTTGTTCATGCACAGCAAGTTCTGAGCACCAGAGAACGCACACATAGCCTCATTCAGTCCTCCCATCCTCAAGTTCTTGTTTTTACCTATGCCCAAAAGCATCGGACTTCGGAGCATCCTGTACTGGACATAATACCAATGGCAATGACAACTCTAAAGACTCGTGTCTCTGGCAGACAGAACACAGGCACTACCCCTTCATCAAGAACATTTCTTCCATCTTGCACGAATGCAGGGCTTTGTGCTGAAGCTACTTGCATGTTGTTATACCTATGTTATTATAAAAACATTTCATGTAACGACAAAGAAACCAAGAGCTGACCACAATCCCAAATCAGTGCTATATTTACAGTGCTATCAGCAAGCTAGAATCTAGATCTGGATTTTAAGACTTTTAAGAATTTTAAGATTTTCATCCACAGCAGCAATCCGCCATCGGTATCACTGCTCATCACGAAAAAGTACTCACTTGCTCCTTATTAGGCAGGATGCACTGGTGAGAAATCCACGCGAACCGGGCTAGCTTGAGTTTGTCCTCCCAAGAAGTCTTGGCGCTTTTCAGCTTCTGGTAAATCCCGGAGTAGATGGCTGCCATGGGGGCGGCACGTGGGAACAGCGAAGAGGCAGGCACACGTCTGGAAGGAGCGCCGAGCAAGAAGGAAGCGGTCGGACGGGCAGCGGCCCCGCGCCCGGCACTCACCCACTCACCCACGTGGCACCGCGCGGGGCCCAAGGGCCCCTCCGCCCGCCAGCCGCCCACGGCCCCGCTCCCCAGCGCCCACCTCTCCCCCGCCAGCCCCCGGTCCCGCTCGCCTTCCCCTCCGCTCGCCGGGCCGTCGCTGCCGCTCCCCGCTCGCGGTACGGCCGGGCGCTGCCGCCGGCCGCCGTCCCCGCCAAGCCGCGCCGGCCGAGCGCCGAGCCCGGGAGGCGGCGCGCTGGGCGAGCCCGCGCCCATTGGCGGCCAGAGGGCGCTTGCGCGGCCGCGGCCCCGCTCCCGCCCGCCCCGGCGTGTGTCAGCCGGGCCATGGAGCGGCCGCCGCCGCCCGCCGGGCCCCGGGCAGCACCGGCCGCGCCACCGGCACCGGCCCGCAGGGGAGGCGGCAGCGGCGGCGCGCCCGCCGGCAGCGCCCGGCTCCGCTGGGTGCGGTGACAGCCCCGTCCGGCCGCGCCGGCCCCCGCCTGCCTCCCGCCGCCTCCCGCCGCCTGCGATGCTCAGTGAGTGGGTCCGGCCCGGGGCCGCGGCCCGGGCCCCGCTCGGGGGGGCGCGGGGGGCGGGGCCGGCGGCGGGATGGGGCCCGGGCGTCCCGCGGGCCGCCTCGTGGCGGAGGCCCGCAGGCCCGGCGCGGCTCCCGCAGGCCGGCGGAGGCTCCTCGGCACGGGCGCGGCCCTGGGGCAGCCCCGGCTGCGGACGGGGCCGGGCGCGTGGGGGCCTCTGGTCGTGATATCCTTCTTTCCCCAGGAAAGTGCGTGGGTTTAATGAGCGTCTTCTTGTCGCGCCATCTCTCTTCCCCCTTTTTTTTTTTTTTCCTCCTTTTTCTTTTTATTTTTTTTTTTCAATATTGACAGGAGAAAGCTTTAACTTTGGCGTCCCTTCAGCGAGCGCCCTTCGGCCCGCGGAGCAGCCGCAGGACGGGCGCGGGGCCCCGCAGGGCTCCCGGCCCGGTGCCCCCGTCAGGGCCCACGGGCGAGCAGCGCCCGGTCCGCGGCTCCGCTCGGCCCAGGAGGGGCCCGGGGTGGCGTGAAGTGGGTTGGAGGAAAGCGCGTCCCGCAGAGGACATCGGTGAAGCGCTGCTTGGCACCGACTTGTGGCCGCAGGGGGGCTGGGGGCAAACAGTGTGGAATTGGCAAAGCGTCATTCGTGGATGGTGAGCCAGATCTCTGTCCAAATGCAAATGGATTCCTGCTCTTTTAAAAATCACAGCTGTTCCCTCTCTGCCTCTTCACATGAATGCCACTGTTCAGGCAAAAGCCTTCTTCGTAGTTCCTGCTATCCTATTTCTCTATTTTGCACCACCACCGTGCTCTCCAAGTCAACTTGTCATGTTTACTTGCCTATTTTTGAGAATTACAGCTGCTGCATGTGCGACATCCCTTGGCTCTTAGTTTATGGTTATCTCCATATCAGTTTATCCTTATTTCGTTTATTCTGAAATTTTGTAAATTTCAGATTATCCTAATGTCGCAAAATTTAAAATTGAGACCTATTATTGTTGGTAGGCCCCATATTTCACCTGTGGTGATAAAGGATAAAAGATTATTTTTTGCTATTCACAACTGAGGCCTGAGACAGAGTTCTTATTAGAGAATATTCAAAAGATGCTTTTGTTTTATGCTTTTATTGGTTTGGGAGTTGGGTGTTTAATTTAGCTCTCTGATGCTCACACGTCTTTCCTCAGTCTGTTGGAAGAAAGAGACTGTTGTCCCAGTGTCAGGACAGGAATACAGAGTCTTTAAAAGCAGTGTTTCCAGTGCTAGTTTTAAAACTCTTTTTAGTATGTCTGTACTGGAATTATTTCAAGGCCGTGGAATCTGCCTAAACCTGTACCTGAAATGTAGCATAGGCGGGAAAATAATTTCCTTGGCCCAGTGCTTAATTCACAACTAATTTCCAGCCTTTCCAGGAAGGAGGAATTTGCAATGTGTTTTGTGTTATTAGCCTCTGCTCTGGTTTTTTTTTTTTTTCTTTTTTTTTCAATTAAGTCAATTTAAAAGGCTGTGTAG